CAAAGAATACAATCCCTTCCCTTCTGAAGTTCAATGTTACTGGAACCTTTTTGGTGGACTGAGTCTAGCCTGAAGACCATGGGCAGGAGAAGACTAAGTGCCCTTGAGAAGGCACTTGCCACGAACAAGGGCAGGTGGCCCAGGCTAAATGGGAGAACCTCTGGGGTTGCAGGGGTTGGTTTGGTTCTGATACCGTGTGTGGGCGGGCCTGGAAAGCCTCCTGGTCAAGCCTGGTGGCAGGGCAGAGCACACTCACCCAGTTCAGTAGGGATGCGAAGTGGCAGACACAAGCAAGAGCGGCGGAAAACCAAGGCCCCCTAGTGGTAGGTCCTGGCATTCTCGGACACACTGGCAGCAGGTGTTATTTGAACACGGAGGGGTGGGGGAACCAGGGATGCTATTTCTAGTTGTAGATTTCCCCTCCACCCCTTAATAAGCCATTAAAGTGTTCTGTGAATCCCCTGGGTGTCTACCCTTATCATTTCAGAGAAGTGGCAGATGGTTTGAAATGGCAGGTTTTTGGGTTTTTTTTTTTGTTTTATTTTGTTTTTAAAATTTTTATTTATTCATGAGAGACACACAGAGAGAGGCAGAGACATAGGCAGAGGGAGAAGCAGGCTCCTTGTGGAGAGCCCGATGATGTGGGACTTGATTCCCGGACCTGGGATCACATTCTGAGCCAAAGGCAGACACTCAACCACTGAGCCACCCAGGCGTTCCAACAAGGTTTTTCTTTAACATACCATAGAGAAAATTCTTGGGGATGAGTCCTTACCCCTCTGATCTAGGTTGGGTGGATTTTTTTTCTCTTTTCTTATTTCTTTCCTATTTTTTTTACCCTCACCCTCATTTCATAGATAGTTGTGTGATCTGATTAATGTCTATTTTTGTCTTCAGGGAGTAAGCTTCAGGGGCTAGGGATTGTCTTGTTTGTTGCTGTATCCTTGGCCCCTAAAATAGCATTGGGCATTCATTCATTAAGCTGACAAATCATTAGGGAGGGTCTGTCCTGTGCCAGGCCCTCTACTAGGCATCGGAGGGGGGGGAGGGGATAGCAATTTGCCAAACACTGACTCTGTTCTTATGGAACTTCCGTTCTAGAGGGTAGAGATGGAGAACAAACGAGAACATGGTACCGCGAGTGACGGTGAGCACTCAGCATAGGAGGGTAGGGTAGCTTCTGCAGGGTAGGAGGCTTCTGCTCTAGGAAGTTTTCTCTGCTTGAGATTTGAGCAGGTGCCTGAAGGACTGAGGACGGGAGGGAGGGGGGAGATTTGGGAGAGTCCCAGGCAAAGGTCCAGGCCCAGAGCAGAGAGCACGCTGGGCAGTCCTAGGGGCCGATGTGGCTGGGAGGCAGCACAGGACAAGGCAGGAGCGCAGGGGGTGGGACCTTGGAAGCCACCCTAAGGACTTCAGCCTTGATTGGGTGGTCTAAGGAGCTATGGAAGGGTCTGGAACAGAGTGACAGATCTTATCTATGAAAAGGAAATAAATCTTTTCTGAATGAATGTGGAATCATGAATCTCCTTAAAGCCCACCCCCCCCACTTCGCCCCCTTGCCTGGAGTCTGCAGGCACCACCCATGCAGCCTCTGCCTCCCGGCCATGTCCCGCTGCCCAGAGGACTCCGACTCCTCTGGTTCCTGTCTTTGGTGAGCTCCCGACACCCCCAGACTTGATGAGCTTCCCAGTTACATACTTTCCCAACACCCAGCCTAAAATATGGGTTATGTCTGTCTCTATCATTCCATTGCTGGCTGCCTGAGGACACCATCTGTCCCTGCTCACTGCTGTATCCCGGGTGGGACACAGAATGTGCTCGGTAAATATTTGCTGGGTGGCGACCGGATGAATCAGCCTGCTCTGTTCCTCTGGGCTATTGCGTCAATTTTCTGCCCAGCCTGAAGGGCTCCAAGCTGAAGCTGGACATCAGGCTGGGGCCAGGGTGCCACCCCTTCCCTCCCAGAACCTGGTCCTTGTTCCCATCGCCTTCAAGCCTGCTCTAGGCCTGAGTGGCCCCAGGGGGCCTGAGGTGGGTGCTCAGACGCTGCAGACCCCACCTGAGAACGTCTGTCAGGTTCAAAGTTCAGGAGTAGTTCTGCGTGTCCCCTCCCTGCTCCATCGTATCTGAGGCAAGACAGCCACCCAGTGGTAATTTTTCTAGACTTTTGTTTATTTTATAGCAATTGTCATGATTAGAGAAGTAAATAACACATTTAAAAACCTTCTCAGGGCCAAAGGATGCCAAAGTATTTACAAACACATGGTGGATGTGTGTGTGTGTGTGTGGCGAGACATGAGGGGCTGGGGCTCGGGGGCCCGGGATTCCGCCCAAACCCTGAGCCAGGCTTGGGTGCTGATGCTAGCCACCAAGACTGTCCCACGGGCCACAGCGCGGGCTCAGGGAGTATTGGCAGCTCTGCTCGGTGGGCCTGATGGGAGGCCCTCTAGCTAACCTGTGGCCCTGCCTCCCACCCAGGGGGCTCCCCACACCCCACAGGCCAGCTCAGAGGGGTCTCTGGGAAGCACCGAAGGACGGGGCAGTGTGGGGGCCTAGGGGCTGTGACAGAGATCGAGGATGACCCGGCCTGCCCAGAGTGGGACACACACATACACACACACATACACACACACTTTCACAGAAGAATCGAAAGAGGAAGATTTTGTGTGTTGTCTTCTAAGTCTTCGTGTCTACTGTGTTATTAATTTTTTGCTATTTGTTTCTTCGACAGTGACGTAAACTGAGGTAAACATCTGTAACCAACACCTCTCCTAAGGGGCAAAGGGTCCCAGCCCAACTAGCAGAGGTGGTGGTGGTGGTGGCGGCGGCGGGAGCAGGGCCCCGACAGCTAGGGAGCAGGCCTGGCTGGGGTCCTGCTCCCGTGTGGGGCAGTCGCTGGCCCTCTCTGTGCCTCTGAACACAGGGGCTGGGCTACGTAACTACAGTCCCCTTTCCAACTCTAATATTCTAGATACTACGACGAGGGAGAAACTCCCGAATAGGATCTTAACAGAGAGAGAGAGAGAGAGAGAGAGAGAGAGAGAGAGAGAGAGAAAGAGAGAGAGCGCACGGCGAGGGACATCTACTTGGAATCTTGCGTCCGTGTTATTGCAGGAGAGACAGGATGTCGAGAGGCCTAAGGCAAAAGGAGACGTCGCGGCTGGGAGAGAGAGGTGGCCCGGGTGGGCTCCAGCTGGGCCGGGGGCAGTGATGGGGGGCCTTCTCTGAGACAGGGCCCATGGTGGGAGGAGGGTTTGCTACTTACCTGGCATGTGGAGGGCCCTGGGGCCCACTGCAGAGGTGGGTCTCAAGTGGGCGGGCACACCGAAGAGGGGAGGGCCAGGCCCTGGGGCAACCGCACACTTTGTAAACTGGACCCGGGCAGGGCAGGGGGACCTATAGCCCTTTTGCGCGGTGGGAATGAGGGAGGAGTGGAGAGGTGGGGGCTCCAGGCCAGAGGGTAGTCGGGCCCTCTCTGGTCAGCCGGTGGGGCTCATCAGAGGGCCCCCTCGAATGGCCTAGAACCCCAGTAGGACCCTGGCAGGTGTGGCCCTGGATGGCGGAGGGGACCCTGCCAGGCAGGAGTGGCCTCACCCATGTTGAGGTTATTGCGGGGTCCTGGGCCTCCACAGCAAGGGCAGGGGTCACGAGGGAACACTGGGTGAAGTTGGGGTCCTGTGTTGCTGCCTAGGGGCCCGAACCAACCTGCGGGTGCCTCCTGGCCAGATTCCCTGAGGGGCGCGTGGTGAAGCGTAGGCCTGGACACCTGCTGGCAGCTGTCTGGGTTGGATCCTGGGGCCAGGAGGAGCTGCTGAGGCCTCTGGATGCCATCGCTGAACACACAAGACTACACGCATACATGTGGACTCTACTCACACTCATGGGGCACACACCGATTCACCCCCCGACCCTGTGTTTCCACAGACCCTCATCCTTGTTCCCACTGCATCCTCACACCCACGGGGGCACACTTCAGTACCAGGACGTTGGGATGGCGGCAGCCGTAGGCTGACATGTTGGTCCCCAGCAGAAACCCAGGGGGATTCCTGGCCCAGATCACCTCGTCGCCGCCGGCCAGAAGCCCGGCTGTGTCTGGGCTCAGAGGGTGAGCACCCAGAGGATCTGAGGTCCCCGGGCCTGGGGAAGCGCTGCCAGAACCGGGAGCTGCGCCGGCCTGGGGCTCTGCACTCACTCCCCCTGTCCTGGGGATGCCCGGGCACAGAGGCCCCCTCTGGCAGCCCTTCCCTCTGCGACTTTGCCCGGGAATTCCTGGGGAGGACACAGAGGGCTTCTAGAGCCCATCTGTCGGGGTCGGTTGCCCTTCCCAGGGGCTCAGTATTCTCATCGGCAAAGGGGTTGTGGGGGTCACCAGGTTCTTCGGCTTGTGCCAGCACACACACACACATACACACACACACACACACACACACACACAAGCACGCGCGCGCGCGCACACACACTTTTGCCACATCCAGACATTTGCTACATTTTGCAGAGGGCTTGGCCTCTCCCCCACAGCCTCCTAGGAAAGGGGCAGGGCGCAGCTGAGCAACTTCAGCCCTCAGCTCCTGGCCCTCCCCTCCCCCGCCAGCGTCCGGCCCCAACACGTCCTTCCTCTTCTGTGCCCGGGTGCGTGCGGGGGGTGGGGGTGGGGGGGCTGGGGGTCGCAGGCTGGGGCGGCCAGGAGAGGGGATTAGGGGTGGGGCTGCAGGACGATCTGCCAGGGGGTGCGAAGGGCCGGGAGCAACTAGTCAGGGTTCCAGGGTCCGGGACGGTGTGTGTGCGGGGGGGGGGGGGGGGGGGGGCAGTCTGCCCGCAAGCTCTCTCGCTCCGGTGTCAGGGGGCCTCTGAATCCTCGGGTCTGTGGGTGGCTGACCCGGCGCCCCGCCCGCCGCCCCGCGCTCCTGCCTCCCGCCGCCGCGGGTGGGGGTGGGGGGGTGGGGGGGGAGGCGGTCGGACTCGCAGCGGCCCCCGCCCCCCGCCCCCCGGCGCGGCGCGCGCGGGGCGCGGGTGCGGGGCGGTCCCGGCGGCGCGGGTGGCGCGGGTGGCGCGGGTGCGCGCTGCGAGCTGGAGCTGGAGCTGGAGCTGGAGCTGGAGCTGGAGCTGGCGGCCCAGCCCGAGGGCGGCGGGGGCGGGCTCAGACGCAGATCTCGATGGCCGTGGCCAGCACCACCTGCCCTTTGCTCTTGTCCGCGCGGCCGTCCGTCCTGCCGGGGGGCCCCGGGGGCGCCAGGCCGGCCTCGGGCACGGGCACGGGCACGGGCACGGGCACGGGCACCGGCGCGGGCGCGGGCGCGGGCCCCACGGCGGGGGCCGCGGGCCGGGAGCCGCTGCCGCTCTCGGTCAGCACCGTCCGCTTGAGCGGCCCGGGAGCCTCGAGGCGCAGCGGCCCGGCGGCGGGCGGGCGGTCCCCGGCGGGCTTGCGCGCGCGGTGCGAGGGCCGGCGCCGCAGCTCGGACGTGAGCTCGTGCTTGAGGAAGCGGAACACCTCCTTGGCCGGCCCGCGGCGCTCGGGCTCCAGGGCCAGCAGGCGCTGGAACATGCGCAGCGCGGGCTCGGTGAAGCGGCGCCACTGCGACGGCAGCCCCGGCAGGCGGCCCCGCTGCCAGCGCACGAACTCCTCGAAGAAGGCGTCCGCGCCCGACGCCGCCTCCCACGGGAAGTTGCCGGTGAGCACGCAGAAGATGAGCACGCCGAAGGCCCACACGTCCACGCCGGTGTCCACCGCGAAGCCGTCGGCGCGGCCCGCCTGGCACACCTCGGGCGCCGTGTACGGGATGGTGCCGCTGACCCGCTTCACGCGGCAGCCCACGCGGCGCGTCATGCCGAAGTCGGCCAGCTTCACGCGGCGGCACTCGCGGTCGAACAGCAGCACGTTCTCGGGCTTGATGTCGCGGTGCACCAGCTGCCGCCCGTGCATGAAGTCCAGCGCCAGGCCCAGCTGCTGCACGCAGCGCTTCACCGTGTCCTCGGGGAGCCCCACCTGCGGGGCGGGGGGGGGGGGAGGGCGGAGCGCTCAGGGGCGGCTGGTCCAGGCCCGCCGTCCCGTCCGTCCCATCCCTCCCCACTGCTGCCAGTCCCCTCTCGCCTGAGCCCCTACCTGCTGCCTGCCCCCACCCCACCGCGGGGGGTGCTCCTGCTCCCAGTCTGGCCCGCTAGTTTTCACCCCGCACCCTTCTCCCCTGGTCACTGAGCGCCCACGGTGGGCAAGGCGCCACACTGAGCGCCCTCGCCCGCACCATCTCACCAACTCCTGGCGGCAGCGATTGCGCTGCTTCCCTCATAGGGACCTAAGGCTCTGCCACTGGCCACCTGGGCGCCAGAGCTGACTGGCACCTAGCAGGCACCACCAAATGCAGAGCCAGGGGCCTGGAACCCTCCTGGCACTCTCCCTGTCCAGGAGGCCCCTGGAGGCCCTGCCGCCTCATCTCCCCTCTGGTGTCCCCACTGTTCCTACGTAGCTGCTGAGGAAGGTGCCCACTGGACCTTGTCCCATCCTCCAGCTGTCGCCCTTGGAGTGCCTGGCTTGGCTGTCCTGGGGCCAGGAGGCCCTCTCCTGTCCCTGCACCACCACATCATGTACCTGAGGAGGAATGATGTCAAACAGGTCCCCGGCGGGCGCATACTCTTGGGCGAAGACATAGCAGTCCTCCGTCTCAAAAACCACGTCAAAGACCTTGATGATGAAGGGGCTGGAGGAGAGGCTGTTGGTGATGCTCACCTCCCGCAGGAAGTTCTTCAGCTTGGTCTTGTTCTTGTTCACAAACTTCAGCGCCATTTTCGTGCCTGATGGGGCAGCAGCCACAGCAGTGAAGGCCTCTGTCCCTGCGCCCCTGCACCTGACATCCCCGAGACAGCGCAAGCCTGTCCATGTCTTACTGGTAGGAAACAGACCCAGCAAGAGGAAGGGACTTGCCAGAAGCCATGCAGGGAAGTCATGCAGTTCCTGCCCCTGACTGGCTGTGAGCCTATGGCGTGGGGAAGGCATCGCACTCCTGGTTTAGTGAGAAGATTCTGGAGCAGACTACTGGGGGCTGGCCCTGGCTCTCTAGTTGCATGACCTTAGATGACTGACTGGATCTCTGGGTCTCAGTGTCCTCATCTGAGAAATGGAGTTGGCCATTCTGACCTCCCAGAGAGATCACCTACCTCTCCTTAAGAATGGTGCTCTGTTTCCAAGGACCCACCCTCAGCTTTGTCCGCTTCCCTGGGGTCAGCTATCACTAATATGCCGGTGATTCCCCAAACACCACTGCCAGCCCTGACTTCTCTCCTGACCTCAGCTGGCCCCAAGCAGCCCACCCTCCAGTCTGGGCTCTGTACCTCCCTCTCAGGTCTCCCTGGGCTGTTCAGGTTGCATCTCTCCCCCTGGACCACTAACTGTATCTCCCTGCTGACTTCTTGGCTCCTGAAGAGAGTCCCCGAGAGCCCGAGACAAGTCCCCACCCTGGCCCTCAAAATTGGCCACCCTGTGGCCCAGATGCTCACCTGTGCCCTTATAGGCCACCAAGTCGACCTTCCCATAGGTGCCCTTGCCTAGCTCCCGGACGAGCTCGTAGTGCTTGGTGACATCGCTAGCTGCTAGTGTGCGGAGGGTCAGTGCCTGCATGTCTTCAGTGAGGAGGGGCACGCCTGCACCCAGCCCAGGGGCAGTCCCTGGCCCACAGCAGGGCAGGGAGCGGGGTGGCTCGGGCTCTGGGCAGCCCACGCTCATCTTCTCCCTGTTATGGGGGATGTGGCATGAAATGTGACGTCAAGCTGGGGGCCCCCTAGTCCACCCACCTCCTCCCTCCCCAGTACCTAGGGCCCTGGGACGCCAGGCTCAAGATGACCACAAGGGGGCGACAAGCATCTTTGTTGGATCCCCTTTCCCCAAAGCATCAGGGCCTTGGGCTGAGCCAGCACTCCCAGGAGACACCAGTCACTGCCCCCACAGTCCCCACTGGGTACCACAAGCCTGTCTGTCTCAAGCTGTCATCCAGACACAGCATTGGACAAGGCACACCCTCATAACCTATGTCACACAAAAACACTCCACAGACCAAGTCCACACGGGTGCTCCAATTCACAGATATTGATCAGCACCTGGTGTTGGCCAGGGGCTTGCTGTTCAGAGACACGGGGATGCAACACTAACAAGCACATAAGAATCCCACCCTCATGGGACTTATGCTCCAAGGAGGGTGATGGACAATAAACCTAGTGAACACATGAATTATATATTATGATAAAATGTGGTCTAGGCTTTTGAGAACAGAAGGCAGGAGGTGGGGAAGGTGATATCTGAGGGCAGGGGTCACAGTATCAAATTCCTCAACCAAGTAGTCTCAGCCCAAACTCTGGCAGGATGGCACAGATACGGCCACACACCCAACCACGGCCTTCTATCCCTGCCCCTCCACAGACACCATGGCCCTGCTCAGGTACATGTGTCCTCTCAGGGTGCCACCCAGCCTCCCCCAGTCTCACCCAGACACAAGGCAGAGTGTAGGTCCCGCAAAGACCCACCCCGCCCTAGCCCCACCCTCCACATTCATAGCCTGACTGACCCTTTTGGGACTCACACAAACTACACCCATGCATCAGAGGTACTGAGTCTGTCCCCAGTCAGTGTTGGGGGGCAGAGAGCTGCCGTGCAGAGAGTCCAGCAAATGCCCATCTGGGGCCTGCATTTCTTGTCTGTCAAGTGTGTGTGTGTGGGGGGGGGTTGGGCTGGGGAGCGGAGCTTCCAGGAGCAGGTGTCCACATGTCTGTGCGTGTACCGGCAGGAGAGGCACAGAATCCTCCATAAGCTGAGCCCCAGGAGCCTGCCTCTCAGTGCACCTCCTCTGCCCTCACCTCACTCCCTCCTACCTCCAAGTCCCAGGTGACTCAGCCAGCATTCCCCCAGCCCCCCACCTTTACAAGACGGCCCAGGGCTCTCAGAGAGAAAGCAGGCTTGGAACCAGCTGGCCTGGCTTTGAATCTACCTGTCACCTGCTTAGCTGGATGGCCTTGGGCGAGTACCTTCATCTTTTCTTGCCTTAATTTTCCATCCACATAAAGGATATAACAGTGCCTTGTCCCTATGGGCTTGTGACTTCCTAAATGACTTAGCCAGGGTACACAGTAAGTGCTCTCTAAGTGCCAGGTGTCGTGTGCCCTCAGTAGTGTGATCTGTGTTCCCCCTCAGCTGAGCCAGCAGAGGCCGTGAGTAGGGGTGGGCTCTCCGGGAGCCCCTCTGTGTTCCCCCTGGCCCAGCCGCTCCCCTGCCAGTCTCCTCCTCTGCCTTCCCCTTCCCTCTTGGCACGACCCAGACTCCCACTTCACACGGAGAGGAGGAACATCAGGAGGGAACTTCCTGGCCTCCCACCCAGCCCCAAACGGAGCTCCATCTGCACGTCCTCCGGCTGGCTGGGGGAGCAGGGGGCCCTCTTCCCCTCCTCCGATTTGGCTCCTGCCCCTTCTGCTGCCTCAGGATCCTGCTCGCCCAATCAGCCCCCTTCCCCTCCATTCATGAGCAAGCCCTGTTCTATAGAACCTTCCCCTGCCACATCCACTGCCTTTCCCTTCCTAATTCCTTTGGTCTGAACATATGCCAGGAGTCTGTCTGAAACTCCACATGAAAGCCCTCAGAGGGGCTGGCCTGGGGCTTGCATCAGCCTGTCTCAGAGACCCCCCCCCCAGGGGGAGGGATGGTGCCAGGCCCAAGGACTCGGGGTCCTGCTGCCCCTACTGCCACCACCCTCCATGTGCTAAACCCAACTGGGCCATGGCACCTGTCACCAGGTCTCTGCAGTCCCAGCCCTGGCTGGATAACACTGGGTCCTTCTTACTGCAGCCACCAACTAGGCTAAAGTGGACGGCCTCTCTCCACGATGGTCTTGCCCTGCTTTCAGGGCTGGAAGGGGTCACCCCTCCTGACCTCTGTCCAATGCCCATACACAGTGGGAGTGCGGTTCTGAGTGAGGAAACATGGGCGATCTGCTTTGATGCAGCAGGGAAAGGGAAGGCCGTTTGTGGGTGAGCGGCCTCAGGCCCTTTCTGAGGGGAGTGTGGGCCTCTCCCCCAGGGGTTCCAGTGTGTACACCCCCTCGGTGCCTTGAACTCTTCCCCCTGGCCACCAGTGAGAGGCTGCGAGCTGCTCTGCTGACCTACTTCTCCTGATGTGTGGACTCTGCGACCGTTGCTGTGCTGGGCAGGCCGTGGGTGTGCAGGCATAGGGGCACACGCGTGTGCAATGCTTCCACTTCGGGCTTTGGCCCTGCCATTTTGGGCTGTGTCTGCATCCTCTGGGAGACTGACTGGCAGCTGCAAGTTGCTAGCTCTTCTTCCCTCTCTCCCCTCCTCCCTCAGCCAGAGACTGTTGGGTGCGTGGCTCATCTCATCCCTGCTGCTTTGGTCTCAGAGCTGCACTGTGCAGCCACCAGTCTGGGTCAGGCGCACAGCCACAGCGGGGTGGGTCTGGGCCCCACATCTGCTGCCTGCATCCAGGTTCAGCCCTTTGACCACCACTCTACACTGCCTCTCTCTGGTCTCCTTTGCCGGGTTTGCTGCCTGCCTTTACCTACCCCCGCACCAGCCGCAATCTTCTGGGTCTCCACCCTCAGGTCCCCCTCCTCCAGGAAGCCTTCCCTGCTGCCCTGGGTGCTGATTTCTGCCTCTGCCGAGCCTCAGGATTCACACAGCGTCTGTGCGTGTCTCTGATAGTTCCTGTTGAATGTCTTGGGGGTGGTCTCAACCCTGTTCCGTCTGTCCCCATCAACAGACCAAGAGCTCCCTGGGGGTAGGGGCTACATCTGATCAAACTTTCTTTCATCCCTTCCCTTGGTTCCCAGGACCCAGTTTTGGGGGTCTTCACTACTGACCCGTCCCTCCTTCATGACCTCCCCCCACCCCACCCCCGCCCCTTTCAGGCCTGTTCTCTGCAAGGCATCAGCAGGCAACAAGGAATTAATCCACACAGCCTGCGTCACAGCCCCAGGTACACACTGCCTCTGACCCAGTTACCACGCATGTGATTTAAGAGTCACAGTGGGGAGTGACAGAAACAGCACGGGCCTCGGGGCTCAGCAGGCTTGCCCTTGATCCTGCCGCAGGCCACTTCTTAGCCGGGTGACCTTGAGCCAGTCACTTGTCTGGGCCTCGGCGGCCACACCTTTACAACCAGGAAATCACAACAATGAAACAGCAGCAGCAGCTACCACTGACATTGGGCCCTGCTCTAAGGATGAGCTCATCTTCACGATTCAGCGGATGAGTGTTCTCATGATCCTTGTTTTAGGGGCACAGAGGGCCTAGAGAGCTTGCCCAAGGTCACACGGCTCGCGTTGGGATTGGCTCCAAAGTCGGTGCTCTTAACTACTGTTTTCCCAAGTCAGAATGTTGGAGCGTCTCGTCTGGATCCCTGGGTATCCAAGTAGGGAAACTGAGCCCAGGAGAGCACAAAGCCTGAGCCAAAGCTACTCATGCCTTGCTGGGCCCCCGCTGAGTGGCTTGGGTGGCAGGTACTGTCCAGGTGCTTCCCATGTATTAACTCACTTAATCTTCACAGCAGCGGGTTCAGAGCAACTTCTTTCAGGCGGGGGATCGAGGCCAGACAGTAAAGGAAGACACACTGGCTCCCCGAGCACTTGAGGGCATATACGCCTGCCTGGCATTGGCAGGAACTTGACCTAAAATGATTTTACCTTTATCACCATTGCCTGTGGATTTGGTGACTGTGAACTTGCCACCAGCAGGTGACGGAGGCCCGTGGCTACCCTCTTCCCCTCCCCTTCCATCCTGTGCGGTTGACACTACTATCCACACTCAAGCTGACTGTGCTGTTCCGGGGGACCCCACAGGCCTTGCACCTCAAGTGTGTGTCCTCACTGGCCCTGAGGGAGGCCCTTGGTTTCCCGTCTGTTGCTGAAGGCAGGTGGGTGTCACCTGGTCTTCTCAGCAGCCATTGCACTCTCGCCCTGTGGGCTGGGTCTTCCGCCACAAGCCAGGGGGGCTTCCCAAGCACGAAGCAAGACAGAGTCGCCTACCACTTCCTGCTGGCAGGTGGCTTGAGCTGGGTACCTCTCTTATAAAAACTACACCCAATGCATAACCCAACTCAGGCCCACTTTGGAACCTCTCTTCCCTATCACACGCACATACACACGGTGCCAGCCTGGTAAATTTTCACTGAGTCCTCATAAGTATCCTGAGAAGGAGGACAAGATATCTCCTGTTTTTTTTTTTTTTTAAACAGCTTAACTTTATATACATCATAAAATTTACCCACAGAAGGTATACAATTCAATGATTTTAGTAAGTGTCCATTGCCACAACCAAGCGATACTTTTATATATATATATTTTATAGATGAAGCACAGAGGCCCAGGAAGTTGGTGATTGACTATGGAAACTTTGTGTTTCCTCTTTTATAATACAGAGCTGCTGCTGGAAAGCAGCTGTCAGCAGGGAACTAACTATACAGTTCCTGCTCGCCTCACATCTAGGTGTGGCCACGTGACCAGTTTCCCCAGTTGAACATGAGCAGAAACGACGATGGCTGTCACTCCTGGGTGGGGTCTCTTGAGAGTGGGTGGGGCTTCTCTATTCTCTCTTCTTCTATACCTGGGCTTGATTCAGAGGCCTCCTGGATTCTATAAGACAGTGAAGCTAGGAGCTAGGAGGAGCCTGGATGCTTGGCTGTGGGAGGTCTCCTGCTGATGAGGATGACCCACTCAGCATTTTATGGAAGCCAGAA